TGTCATGCACGGCACTCAGGCACCAACCCCCTGCCTCTTTTTTTTTTCTTTTTTTGTGTTTAATTAATAAATTAATATTATTATCTAATGAATAAAAGTAAAAATGAAACAACAACAATGAGCTTGGGTCTGAAAAAGAAATCGAGCTTTGATTCATGAGCTCGTAAAATCAAAAAATTTAAATCGAGATCTAAATAAATTTGGTATCTACAATTTGATATTAATTTGATATTTGATATGTATTAAATTTCATTGTATAAAAGTAAAAAAGTAAAATATTTTCTATTTACGAATGAAAAACTTAAAAAATAAATTAAAAATAAAAAAAATAACAAAAAAAAACCACATAAACATCCTTTGGCTCTTAAAACTTACTCAAAACTCTTTAATTTTTATTGTATGGATAATAAAAAAAAGTAAAAAATACGTGACACGTGGATATCCAACTCCTCGCGTAATTCTCACTCAGCTGTTTTTTTTATCAGATTTCTTTATTTTTCTTTCACTAACTTTTTTCAAATCTTCACTAATTTCCTTCACATCAACTTTTTTTTATTGACTTTTTTATTTTTATATACAACTCAATCTCACGTCAACTTCTATCACCAATTCACATATAATTAAAATTTTACCAATATGTTTATAAAAATTATAAAAAATTAAAAATTAATTTTTACTGCCGCTCTAACCCTGTACGAGCAACCTTTATTCTAAAAAACAAAAAACGTGATAAGGTGTAAAACAAAAAAAAAAACACTGATGGCAAGGACAGGTGCAATGCTCTCCGTTCTCTACAAAATTCATACTGTGGTTTTTTCTTGTAACTAAAAAACCAGGTTTTTTTTTTATTTGAAGACGCCCTTTTGAGTTCTTGTGAAGTTGTTTTACAGTTTTTGTTGAATACCCAGTTTTTGTTGAATGCTTGTTTTCTTCATTACGATAATTGTTTGAATGGAAATTGACAAAAAAGATTGAATTTTTTGATATAAAGAGTGCACGTTTGGCGGTTTGGCTGTTTTCTGGGTGTTGGTATTGAGAATGATGTCAATGAAATGCCATAATCTTGATTTTGCAACAAGAGTGCTTGATTTGGTTACTGTTGGTTCTTCTTCTAATGCTTCAATTGAAAGGCAATGAGTGACAATTTATGGAAAAACAACTTCCGTTGTTAGTAGTGAAGTCAATGGAGCTAGAATAATGGTTTATTGCGGACAAAAAATTAGCAGAAAGTCGTGTGTTCTCCACAATAACTTCTGAGGCTCTGCTTGATGGCAATATTTTGATTGCTCTAGACATGATTTGTTTCAATTATAGATGATTTCTTTCTCTTGTTTGTAGTGGTTGTGTTTGCTTTATCATACTTTGTTATTATCTTTTTGAGTTCAGTACTTGGAATTATAATTTTTGTCCACTTTTGAGATAAATATAGGAGTTGCTCAACGTACTGCATCCATGTTGGATTGGAAGAAAGAGCTTAAGAGTCCCATTTCACTGGCAAACTTGTTTGAAGCGGTTGCTGATGACCTCCAGACTCTAAATCAAAATCTCCAGTCAGTAAGTGCTCACAATTGCTGTTTGATTGTTGGGATATTAAAGATCAGGTTTCTGCATGTTTGGAATAATTTTGTTCTAGCTATATACCTGTTCATATGGTTTTGCATGTTTTGGCTCATCAATTGATGCCAGATGAATTAAATTATAATCTGTATGTTGCTTCCTTCTTGAAAGCCAAACTGTACGTGGCTTCAACAATACAAGTCCAACACTGAATGCTGGTTACTTCATGATTCTCATTTTGGAAATGGAAGATTTACTGGTGTTTAGAAATTATATTCCTAAAAGGAAAAACTTAAGTAGTGTTTGGTTCCAGAAAATAGAACCGTTTTCTGTTTTCATTTTCTTGGAAAATAAAAAACATGAGTGAGAACGTGTTCGGTAATTAAAAATGGAAACAAATTTTTAGAAAACAAAAATGAAATGGGTTGAAATATAAAAAAAAAAGATGTTTTCAATTGTGAAAACAAGGGATATACATTACTTTTTTTATTATTTTTTGCAAGTTATCATATTTGAATTCTTTTTAATGTTATTAATTAATTAATTAATATATATTATATTTATAATTAGATGACATTAATAATAATATCATTGAATATTTTATTTATTTCGATATTTTTATATTTTTAGAAAACAATTTTTATTTTCATTTGCCAAATACATTTTTAGAAAACAAAAAACAGAATATAAAAATTATTTTCTAGAAAATGAAAATAAAAAATAAAAACAAAAAATATTTTCTTAAACCAAACAGAGCCTTAGAATCTTAAGTTTGGTTGAAAGATTATGCATATAAAAGCTACCTTGTTACCTAAATTTCCTGCAACTATTTCTTGTATTGAACTGTCATTTCTTACCAAGCATCACCAAGTTCTTTTAATTGTTGTCTGCTGCATATGGAGGGATCGACTATTTGAATCTGATTTTGATTTGTTTAGTTCTTTCAAGATCTTAATGTTAGTTGTGTATCTGATGATGATACTCTGCTAGATTGTTGGTGCAGAGAACCCTGTTCTGAGGTCTGCAGCTAAGCAGATCTTTGGTGCTGGTGGAAAGAGAATGAGACCAGCCTTGGTGTTCCTAGTTTCAAGAGCTATGGCTGAGTTAGTTGGGTTGAAGTATAGTTCAGAACTCTTACCAAGATATTCAATATATTTTAAATATAGTATTAGATTGAGGTCCATTTCATACTATTTTCTTTCCGGGGACCTTACTACAAAGCGTCGGCATTTAGCTGAGATCATTGAGATGATTCACACTGCAAGCTTGATAAATGATGATGTATTAGATGAAAGTGACATGCGAAGAGGTTGGCCAATACATTTAACATCTTTTCATGTGTTAAATGTGTTTTTCTTCAGTTAAGTCTTCGAAGTTGAAGTAGCAGCAATCTCAAATTCAAAGCGATATTAATTATTGTATTCATTAATTAGAAATATAGTCTGCGGTTATTGGTCTTTATTGCAAGTGATCAATACTATAAATTACATTCTTTCCATAAACTGGAGTAATGACCACAATGGTTGTTGTTACAGTGGATGGATCATCTTGGTGTGAAAAGTTACTTTATGCTAACCCTCTATCATAATTGAAAGTTCAGAGTTCAGACGTTGTTACCTAAGTTATTGAATCCTATGGGATCGTCACTTTTATCAAATAGTATGCAGCTTCAAGTCTTTTATCACTTGGGAACTGCTACTAAACTGCAGGGAAAGAAAACTGTTCACCAACTGTACGGCACGTGAGTAGCACTACTGGCTGGGGACTTCATGTTTGCTCAGTCTTCATGGTACCTTGCAAATCTTGAAAACCTTGAAGTAATTAAACTCATCAGCCTGGTATATATGAGCCCAACCAAACATTTACCATCTCTTTTGGATATAAATGTAGGTATATGGTATTTGAGTCAAAAATTCAAAATTTAGGGATTGAAAGTATGCTCCTGCTATCGATATCTTTTTCAAACTATTGATATTTTCATTAAATAGTCTAAAAAGCATCATTATTAATGATGTTGCAGGTTATTGAGGATTTTGCGATTGGTGAGATTAAGCAGGCATCTAGTTTGTTCGACTGTGACCTTGAACTTGAGGAGTATTTGCTAAAGAGTTACTACAAAACAACTTCTTTGATTGCGGCTAGTACCAAAGGAGCTGCTATCTGTAGTGGGGCTGGTCGTAGTGTCACTGAGCAAATGTTTGAATTCAGCAAGAATCTTGGTCTATCATTCCAAGTTATTGATGGCATATTAGATTTTACACAATCAGCAAAGCAGCTGGGGAAGCCGGCTGGCATTGATCTAGTAAAAGGCAACCTAACAGCACCAGTAATTTTCGCTCTAGAAAAAGAGCCAAAGCTTAGAGAAATCATTGAATCCAAGTTCTGTGAGACTGGTTCCCTTGATGAAGCAATTGAACTGGTTAAGGAATGTGGAGGAATTGAAGGATCGTAAGAATTAGCAAAAGAGAAAGCTGATCATGCAATTAAGAATCTACAATGTCTTCCTCATAGCGCTTTTTGGTTAGCTCTTGAAAATATGGTGACGTTTAATCTTGAAAGGATTGATTAGTTAGATATGTTTCACTACAGAAGCAATTCCTTGCTGGAGGATCGTTCTTCGATAACACATCTGAGACATAAAAAGAAGGCCTGAAGTTGAAGCCTCTATTCCCATAGAAAAGCTTTCATGGAGCATTGGTTGGTTAGTCCTGCTGAATCGAGGTTCCATGTGACTGATTGTATATTCATACAAGGTATTGAGCTTTGATTTGAGCTCCCAATATCAATTTATTCAATTATTATAGATTGGTCTGGAGAGAAATAATTCTCTATTTTAATTGTTAGACAATAAAGTTTTTGATCAATACGGAAGCTGATCAATTTGCATTTCTTGATTGTGTACTGAGTAATTAACTTGGTTTGAAAATGCATGGGGAGCTGACTCAGTAATGATTCTTGTAATAAATATATGGCTTTTTTCAATTACATAGCATGATCTGAATGGAAGGATATGTGTTGACGTGAATAATGGTTTGTTACAATCTTTTCTCAGATAATTCATATTATAGTATAGGAGTGAAAAGAACAAGAATCTCATCTTGAAGACAAACTAACTCTATACCTATAGAGGTAGTGAATTATCTTAAAATTTTTAGGGTAATTTCTACATATAACATGTTTTCTTTGAAAGAATGGAATTCCTTGTGCTTTTTATTGGCTAAGTTTGTTTGGCGACACCATTCTAGTATACCAAAATTTTGAATTTTCTCGGATGAGATAGCCTGAAAATCTATTTGAAAAGCTTGAATCTAAACCTAATCGAACCTGATTTGATCAAAAAATTTTCTACTTTTTTTCTTTTTTCACTTGGATGAAACTTTTTTTCCAATTCATCACAAAGCAAAAAATGGAATAGGGATATTATACATTCCGGAACACAGATAAGAAGATAAAACTATTGCACTCAAGACTCAAGTGTAGTTCATCAACATGTACAAACTGTTTCATTTTCGAATTTTACATGTAAGATTGAGGGAAAAAAAAACATGGAGATTTACAAGGAACCAATCTATATGTATGCTATTCATCTGACTCTCTATTGCAGTACCACTACCACTGATAGTTATCTATCCGTAGATGTAAAACAAAAACAAAAACAAAAAAAGGAAATCAAGAAAAGCATATGCCTCAGCAAGCCTAAAGTTTGATATCAGTCTGAGGAGTGTCTTCTACCTTTTTCTCACAATCCAAGTTTCCTTCGGGAGAATTTGGTTTTGGAGACTCAATCAGTTCATTACCGAGTTTAATGGGACCGCTCACCTCATTATCATCTATTTCATTAGGCCCTTCAACAGTCATTTTCTCCAATTGTCCCTCGACATTTATTGCAGGGTTCACCTGGTTGCTTGAATCCGTCAGAATGACATGCTCCTGAGCATCATGAGTATCGTCATTGCCACTGGAACTGGAAATGGGATTGGAAACAACTTGTATTCTCTTGACTTCAGGGTATGACGTAGATCCATCATCAGAGGAATCAGATTTTATTGAACACTCTTGTTCTACCACTGCTGATGGATCGCAAGATTTTTTTGACCCTTTACGGGAAAGAACATGTTTTATGCTACGAGCAGATTTCTCAGCATGTTTTAAAAAACTCTTTGCCATGTCTTTCATTCTTTTAGGGCTCTCTGGACTGCTTCCTGCAGGACTCAAGCTTCCATCATTTGAGACCTTATCAGAAGAAGGCCCTGAAAGACTGTCGTCTATTACAAACTTCACCAAAACCTCCTTGTCATTAACTGCTCTGAGGTTCGCATTGTAAGACTGAACTGCCTCTTCAAGGTTGCCTGAGTGAGCCTCGCTTCTGGGACTCCTCTGAAATACAGAACTGAGCTTCAGCAAACCTCGCTTAACTCTGTTGACTTTTGCATCAGGGTTTTCTTCGGTACTGCTGCGGTCACTTTTAGGGGATGCAGATGCTACTGAAAGGGTGCTGCCAATAGAATCATTCGGCACTCTATGAATCTGTGTCTCAATGCTTCTAGCCTTCCCTTTTCTAGGTTCCCAAGTCTGTGACACCTCACTTCCTGGGTGATGAACCCATATCCCGGTTTCTTGTTGTCCTTCAACATTTATAGGTTCAAAATGATCCGGCAGGTTTGGAGATTTCTTCGAAGATATAGGTGAGAATGAACCTTTATCAGCAGCGTTAGTTGCAAAGGAGTTTTGTATTTCTTCCTTGTTTAACTCTTCAGCATCAGCTGCATCATCACTTCCCTGTGTAAATTGTCCACAGACTCATTTTAAGCTTCTCTGCACATCTCTTTAACTCGTAAAATCATTTCATATATTTAAGGTTGTAACGTAAAACCTTCCTACTTTCACTTGTCGTTAAGTGTAACTTAGAATAAATTACCTTAGTGCTATCTTCAAGCACGGTTATAGCAAGATGAAGCCTTCCCATTTTAATATTTTGAAGAGGCAACCACATGTCATGTCTCTGGCCACCCCTAAAATCACTTATATTTACCGTGCAATTGCTGTAAATTGTAGCAAAATCAGTACATCAGATGAAGATTCGCAAATGAGTTATAGCAAATTGGGAAAACAGAATATGCAGAAAAAATGATTAAAAAACAATCAACAGCTACTTCCACCCATTGTTAACCTAAGTAACGATGGCAAGCCAAAAGGAAATTAAGATTAAGATCACAAAAGCAACAATTGATGATATCCAATGTTAAACTACACAATATTTTTAGGATCATAAATTTTTTTTATCCACCCGACAACAATGGAAGATAAGTTTATATCTCAATTTTCATAAAGTGCTGAGGCTAGGGTCAGCAAACTAATATCTATTAAATCACTAAATGCATTTACTTCAATTCGTAGACATATATTCTATTCCAAAGCATGCTATTTCTAATTGATGGAGTAGAGGCTATGGAAAAAGTAGTCAACACAGTGCAAAACCATGAGCCTCAAAATGTATCCATAAAAATAGGGGTAACTGGAAAGAAATATCGCGGCAAGTATTCAAACATGATTACACAATGTGGTTATTTTAGAGGTTCAGAGACAAACCCAAGGGTATCATCAACAAAGTGGTCTTTGTCACAAACTTCAATAATCAGTACATTAGGTGTCTCCCACGTGCAAACAGGGATCATAAATTCCTCATGCCATTTTGGAGTCAAAGTTTTCTTGTGCGTCTTAGTCCTGAGCCTATAAGGGCCCAGTTGCCCCTTCACATATGGATCAGCTAGCCCTGAAAATTTATATCCAATTATCGACCATAAAACAAGTTATTACACAAGTGAAAGATAGGAAACTGGATTTAAAACTAACCATTTAAATCTGAAGGTTTCATATCAGATGCTTCAATAATTTCAACCTTGGCATGAGCAAGAGGTTGCTTCTCATCAACAGAAAACCAGCTTTCTGGGATATATAATCAATGACAAGGTAAATGAAAAATATAGAAGTGACAATAACACATATTAACTCATCACAATAATTAATTAGTTATGACTTCAAAAATGAACAATCGTTAATAGAAGTGCAATGAAAAACAGAGTGAATAAAGACAAAAATTACCTGCTTGGGGTGAAGTAAATTTCTCAACATCAACAACCAGCATATTGGGCTGCGAAACCAACAAACACACAAACAAACAAACAAACAATTAGAGATAAAGTTGTATCCACAATGGCATATGGCTGGAAACCTAAAACCTGTCAGTGCATCCTGGAAGTGTAACATACTAATAGTCGATTGCAGAATATAAGATAGAATTTATGACAAGGAGGACTTAGGGAAACGTGATAAGGAAACTTGAATAAGCAAAAGAAAACAACGGAAAACATATTCATTTTTATACAGCACCAGAGTTAATAAGCAAAAGAAAACAATGGAAAACACAATCACTTTTATAGAGCACCAGAATTAAAAATACTAACTTCGACAAGTGTCTGCTCAAATGCAACCGAGAGAAGCTTATCCTAGCCAAGAAAAAGAGGACACAATAAGATTGGGAGAAAGGAAGAGATGAAAAAAGAAGTTGAAGATTTATTCAGGGAAAAAAAGGTTATTACAAGCCATCCCGCAATCCCTGGAAGTTCAGTAACATCGAGTCCACGAGTAAAGATGGGTTTCACAGTCATCTGGAAATATGGAGGCTCAGCAAAGCATACTCGCAGACGGCCAAGGAAAGGCCACTGCCGGATAAACTTCACCCCAATCAAAACCTGCAAGACAGAAGAAAGGGTAAGGAAATGACTAATAACGCTAATTAAATCTGTAATTGGCAAGAGATGGAAAACTCTTTTCATGCGCAACATTAATGGCCAAGAATAAGTGTTCCATATTTATCAGTACCTTTCCTTCAACATGCATGCCTGTTATATGCAACTTTGCCCACATTCCAAATCCCAGTCTTTTCCTTAGTTTCACAGCAAGTATTGCACTCATGTCATCTGCTGTGAGAAAATTCATTCCCAACTCCAGTACCTGCATACATTAGATTGTAATTTTTACCATGGGCAAAATTGAAACGAAAAATCAAAGCCAAAACGATTATACGGACAACGGTTAGTGAGAACATATACCAAGTGATCATCATCAGAGCATTGGCGAAGAACCCTCATCTCTGTGAACAAAGGTGGATTTCTTCCCAAATATAAGTGCTGAACCATAGCTTTCTTCTGCATGTATCTCAGTATTATCATAAAAAACTCACTACGTGGACCAGAAAACAATCATCTGCTTGTCATTGCAAGTAACAAAGTTCAGAAATTGAAAAAAAAAATTTCAAATTGCTCATAATTCTTGAACTAAAGTTGGACTTCTTACTAAAACAGAATCTTTATGTAATGATTCTCCAGAGATAGATAAAACAAAAGTGCTAGAAAGCAAAATTCATACAGCAGTCCATGGTTTGTACTTTTCCAAGAACCAAGGTATGATAGGAAGCAGAATATTCTGTGATGCAATCTGTTCCATACAAATAGGCCATATCTTTTCAACAGCATGGTTTAACCAACGAACCGATTCAGAATCTGAAAGTACCTAAAGATAAAGATAAGGCCAACAAAGCATTAAAGGGACATACTTTACTAGATCAAAATCAAGAATCTAAAACTCCAATTTGAGAATTACCCTTCTCCTAAAAGATTGCCTTTTTCCCTCGAATTCCAATTTCTTCTTCAATCTCATTACATACCTTTCATGAGCCTTTAATCAACAAGGAAATGAACCCATTAGAAAATAAAATAAAAGGAATTTTCAACAAAAAAAAATGCCAATCCAAAGTTAGAAGTAGAGAAATTCATGAGAAAAAAAAAAAGATAAAGAGGGAAAGATTCTACATTTTTCAAAAGAAGATGAATCTTTTACCAAGTAGAGATAAATGAGAGACACAAAATAAGCAACTGGATGGCAAAGATTGAAGTGAGAAAGCATCCAAAGCAACACCAAAACTATTCCAACATGATGCATCAGTGAAATCTCCATCAAACCCATTTCTAAATACATCAAAAGAAAAATATCCACTTCAAAAAATATCACAACTTTTCACTTATTCTCCATAACCCATAACCACCAAATCAAAAAAAGAACAGAAACTTTCATGGAGATTTTAAGGAAAAAAACTAGGAAGGAATCTGAATCAAATGACTTGACTTCAAGGGGCGTGTTTGTTTGAATGGAATGACAGTTATGGTAGCAGCAATTTCCTTTCTATAGTATGATCCGGGCAGATATTTTTTCAAACAAATTAAATATTTTAATTAAAAAAGTTTTAAGTATGGTGATTTAGTTTGACTGGCTTCCTCAAGTGAAAACGCTACCTTATAGATGAAACAATATAGATAGGTGGTGGTACATTTGTTAGCATCACAACACAAAGGAGATTTTGAAACAGAATGATCCAAGTGGGGAAGCCGGTCGATTGATACAGGTAAAAAGTTTCGCCTCTGAAAGTCAAATCTTTTCCAAGTGGATGCCTTTGTGTTTGGTACTGTCAGTTTTCAGTGTTTTCCAGTCTCGTTTGCCACGTGTTCATCACGTGTATTCTACGCGTTCCAACAATGTACTTCTGATCAGTTTTGAGAAATTTTAATGAATAAACCAATGATTGTGTTTAATGGAAACATAGGGGACGCCGCAGAGGATTTGACCCTCTTTTGCCGACGCTGCGGATCCGGTTAGAAAGTGACGCTTTACCTCACGTCTATCCTTTTCTCTCTACTCCATTTGTCAAAACGTTTTTGCATGAACAGGCTTACGTACTAACAAACAAAGCGAACAGTCTTAACAACTGGAACGTATAATGAAAGAAAATTAAAGAAACATTTTTAAAATTAACCCTTTTAGAGGAAAAAGAACTTTTATTTTTTAATCTGAATTTAATAGTAATTGATTTAACTCATTGAACAAAAACTTTTTAATACTTTTTTTATAATGAAGTCTCTCTGGCTCTTTGAGCAGAAACAAAATTTATTGTTAGGAAACTTCAATGTACTTATTATAGATGATCCAACCATTGGTGTCAATTGCGGAACTCTTTGATGAAAATTGCTCTAAGCTGCTAGAACTGAAGAGTATCTGTACGGGTTTGACGACTTGTGATTCTCTGGTTTATATAACAGTATCCTGCTGTCCGAATCTAAAGAGGCCTCCCCCTCGCTCGTCCCCTTGTTCATGGAAAACCATCTGATTCTCTTAATCTCAAAGTGATAGCTGTGAAAAGACAAAATGTAGTGGAGATCACTGGAGTTTGATTGGATGGTAGATCACTGTGGGCATCGTCTATGAAAAAAAGGTTTCTAATGTTTCATACTCCAGCTTTCTATTCATTAGTTTGATGAGATAGTAAATCCTGACTCAGCAGCAACAGGGGACAGAAGTTCTCCCAAGTATGACACCATCACAAAAGGGCAAAACAGGTTATGAAAATGTATCCATCTGAATTGGGTATAGCATTTAAATACTGAAACGAGAATTTTCCATTGCCATATGTCACATTTAAAAATGCAGAAAGGTCCATGATAGCATTAGCTATTGGCAATTTCACCAAGTAAAACAGAGTCACAAGTGTTACTCCTATGAAAAACACATTGAACCATCTGTGTCCACATACCCATCTTAGGAACAAAACCATGATGCACCATCTGCTTCAAAGCCCAATCAACTTCACTTACCAGCTTCTTCTTACAAAAACCATGAATCAACTTCTTGTATGAATCAAAACTAGGATTAAACCTCTCGAAAATCATTCTCCCCATCAACTCTTTCGCATCCATAAACCTCTCAGCATCAAGCAAACCATACAAAACCTCCTGATAAGACCCTGCATTCGGATAACACCCTTTTCTTTTCATCCATTCCAAGAGCTTCACCCCCTCTTCAACCCTACCTTGCTTCCTAAGTCCCGAAATCAAAATATTAAAACTAACAGCATCAGCCTCAATTCCTTCCTTTTCCATCCTCCCCATCAGCTCAAAAGCTTTACCAACCTTCCCCTTTTCACACAAACCGTGCATTAAAGTTGAAAAAGTCCTCAAACTAGGCTTACACCCTTGTTTAGGAAATTCGTCAAGCACTTGGAATGCCAACTCTACTTTCCCATTTTCACATAACCCCTTAATGAGAATATTCAAAGTACAGGCTTCAATTTCGATACCCAACTTGGGGGCTTTCCCATAAACCTCATGAACTACATCGAATAATTTATTCGATACGAGCAAGCTCAATACGATATTAAAGGTCTTAACACTAGGCCAAGTCCCATATTCTGGCATACTAAAAAGGGTCTCAATTGCCCTCTTAATTCGACCGCCAACATGCCCATATTTTTTTATTACATTTTGGAAGAAAGTATCGGATAAACGACAAGCTTTTTGGTGTTTGAGCTTTTCCATGATGTTTTGAATGGAATCGAAATCCTGGGCATCTGCTAGTTTGTTAATGACAAGAGTGAAGAGAGGTTCGGTTGGTTTGTAATCTTTACGTGTTGAGTATTGGTTTAGGACAGAAATGAGCGAGTTTGGTTCTTTAAGGTTGTCGAAGATTTTGAGGACTTCCGTTGGGGAGAGCCAGTCTTTGTGGGTTAGTTTGTAAAGCGGAGGGGGAGTGGGGGTCGGTTGGTGATGGGTGGAAATTGGGGAGGAAGAGGAAAGGGGTTTAAGAGTTGGGTTTTTGATGGTGAATGGATGGACGGAATGGGAGGGAAAATTTTGGAGATTAGAATTTTTGATGGAGGAAAGGAGCGAACGTGTAATCATGTTTTTGGTCATACGAGAATAAGGAGTAGGATTTAGTGAGACCTTTTGTTTTCTGCCGTTTGGGACTTAAGGGGGCCAGGGAAGGGAAAATAAAGAGAAAGGAAGAGGTAGCAAACGGGCGGGTTTGAATGCGTTCAAATTGAACTATTTTTCATTTTAAATCTTTTGGGTTTGGATTTATTTCGAATTTTGAATTTGGATTTTTTTGGATTCGGATATTTTTTGATTCAGGTTTTTTTAATTCAGTTAATTTCGAATTTAAATAATTTCAGATTTCAACGATCTTGAATTTTGATTATTTCGAATTTAAATTATTTTTAATTAGATTCTATTCGAGTTAAATAAATTTATTATTTAAATAATTTTAAAAAATTTTAAATTTTATTAGTTATAATTTATAAATATATACTTTAATTTTGACTTAAGAATTAATTTTATATTTTATATAATTATATAAAAATATTACAAAAATGCATGTTGAAAAAAACTATTTGATTGAATTGTTATAATTTTAATTATTTTATGACTTGCAGGCAAGAAATTAAAAGTCCGTATGACATTAGCAATTAAAAGGTGATTATATTACCATAATAGTTTAACATTTCAATTGATTAATAACAATTAAAAGTCCAGACTCCAGATGACTTTAGCAATTAAAATTCGTGAACTGGAACAGGACCTCACAATTCTAAATTTCTAATTTCCAAAAATAAAAATTTAAAATAACTAAAAAATTGAGTAAACCTTAATATCATATCATAATTCAATTCATAACTCATAAATCTATTAGTATATTCCTAATGCTAACGATACACCCAAACTTTTCTCCTTTAAATTTATTTTCTCCATTCTCACCCCTCTTCATTAAGTCTACTGAGTCTTCATCAGCAAACTTCACACTGATGGCAACCACTCCTAACTAGTGATAGCAATGAAACCTAACAGCAACAACGAATCTCTCCAATAGTAGCAGCAAGTTTGATTGATTATATTTTTATGTTTCATTCTTCCTCTATTTTATTTTATTTTTTGTTGAAGAGCCAATCCAGTTACATGATGCTGGAGAAAGCCAAAAAAAGGACAATAACTTAAACTCTAATATGTAGAGTAACATGTTTGTATGTTACTGATGGCTTGTATGGAGGTTTTTATGGTTTTTCTTTCTAATGAAATAGACATGTTTGTTCCAGTGCAACTTTCAAAATCATTTACATGTAATCATGACATACAACTTGAACAATAGACAAAGTTAATTACATGGCACAAACCTCAGAGAAAACTCTTGTTGATGACAAGGGCATGCAATAAAGAAATGTTGGATATTGAGCTTCTAAACATGGAGCTTCTTGTTTAGCATAGTCTTTGTAATCCATGAAAACCATTAGGCTTAGATCATAAGGATTCTCTCCACCTGGCATAATAAGAAAAAAATTAGTAGAGTAATAACAATTGTCAAACAAGTTTAGAAAATTTTTTTCCTCCATCACCTCCTCTTAAAGGGTAATTTTTTGTTTTATAAAGAAATGTTGCATGTTATGAGTAGCAATGTAAATTCTGATAATTTAATTAGTGACTTGGATGGGTCATAAGCTATGAATCATGCAGATAAAGGTTTTTTTTTTCTTTTGAAAGCACATGGAAAACACTTGTAAGTTGTACTTGTATGATTGCAATTAAAAGAAATTTTATTTACATTTCATATTTACTTTAAATCAAAATCAAATAAACAATTGGAACTTGGAAGTAAAATTCAATTAATTAATAATGTATTTGTGCAATTTTTAAAATGTGTTATACTAATTACAAGTGTTAACTAGTGCATGCAATTAATATATTTATATGATTTATTTTCATTATATAATACTATAATATTTCCATTATTCTTCATACAAGTTTGATGGGACTGATCTATCTTAATTTTTTTTTTCAGATACATATGTAGAATCAAACTTTAATGGTAATGATGGCCTTAACATTATAAATTGCTCCACAACACCTACTTCTATTTTTAATCCTTTAAAATGGCAAAAAAAATCCAATGTTTAGACTGTTTTTGTACCACTTGATCCTAAAGAACTATTGGTATATCAAGTGAAAAACAATGATACCAAAGAAAAAGCTAAATGCAAGTTTTGTGGGATTGTTATGATTGGTGGTCTTATTCAAGTACGTCTACCATGAGGCGTCATATAGAAAAATGTAACAAAATAGATCTTTCTAATTCGGATGTGGGTGGAAGTAAAAGAATAGACCCACTTGTTGCTTGTGAAATGATTGTTGAAAGTGTGATTGCTCATGGATATCCATTTAAGATTATTGAGGATGTTAAACTTAGAGCCTTTCATTCCTATTTGAATAATTATTTCAAACCCACTTCTAAGAATACTTGTAAGGCTGATTGCTTGAAACTACAAAATAAAATGAAAGAGAAAGTCAAATCTAGCATGGAAAAAATTTCAAGTAGAATTTCTTTGATTGCTGATATGTGGACATCCTGTACTACTGATGGATATCTTTGTTTAGCTGTACATTTTATTGATGATGATGGATATCTTTGTTTAGCTGTACATTTTATTGATGATGATTGGAAGTTACATAGTACAATTTTGAATTTTCGACATGTGCTACCACCACATATTGTATTTCTTTTTTATAACAAGATTTATAATTTACTGAAAGATTAGGGACTTGAGAAAAAATTTTTAGTATTACTTTGGATAATGCTAGCAATATGGATAGCATGCAAAACCTTTTACATAGCCATCTTGATCAATAAGGTGCATTGCTATGTCATGGGAAATTTTTTCATATTCGTTACGCGACTCATATATTGAATCTTGCTGTTTAAAAAGGTTTATCATTCATTAATGAACCCTTGAAAAAAGTAAGAGAAAGTGTAAAATATGTGGAAGGTTCTTAAGCAAGAAAGATCAAGTTTCGCCGATGTCTAATTCAATCAAATTTGAATTATTCAAGAGGATTATGGTTGGATGGGGTAAATGGGTGGAACTCTACATCTTTGATGTTAGACAAATTTGTTTACTTTCACGAAGCTTTTGAGAAGTTGAGTTTGTTGGATGGAAATTACGAAACAATTCCAAGTTTTGAAGAATTTCTTTGGATTGAGAAGGTTTTCGAGTTTTTAGAGCCTTTTTTTTTATATTACCATTTTGTTTTTAGGAAGAGATTATCCCACTAGTAATATGTATTTTGAAAAAATATGGAAAATTCAAAAAAATACTCAAAATATGCTTGTGTCTAAAGACCCAATCATGGTACTAATGGCAAAAAAGATGGACAATAAGTTTTGTAAGTATTGGGATGATTACAATATGGTGTTATCTTTTGTAGTTATACTTGATTCTCATTTTAAACTACAAATTTGCAATATCTTTTGCCAAAATTGGGTAGTGAATATGAAAGCAAGTGTTTGGATGTTCTAGAAGAATTGAAGCTACTTTTCAAGGAGTATGAGAATTAGAGTAATATTTGTTCTCAATAATCTATGACGGCTTTTGATAGTGATCAAAGTAATCAAAGAAAAGTTTCTAAAGAAATATTGATTGTAAGTTTAATATTTATTTTATTTTTAGCCAAAAGTTTAATATAAGTTACTTTTTTCTTAGATAAAAAGTAATTTAGTTTTTTTTTCTTTTACTCTAATTGTGCATTTGTTATTATAATTTAACATATGGACTTACTTTATTATCATAGGGGTTTAAAAGTTATAACATTGGGTCTATTTCATATAGATCATAGTTGGATGTCTATTTCTATGAAATAAGAGAAAATTGTGAGAAGCAACTTGATGTTCTTGATTATTGGAAGAAACATAACTTTCGATACCTATCCTTTCACTCATGGCCAATGATATATTAAGTATTCCAATTACCACAGTTGCTTTTGAATCAACATTTAGTATGGGTGGTAGAGTTATCAATAAATGGAGAAATTGTCTTAAACCCCATAATGCAAAAATACTGATTGCCACTCGTAATTGTTTGTACGGACATGATGCAACAATTAATCAAAATAGTAAGATTTTATTGCCATTGACTATAATTTCATCGAGATTTTTTTTAATAAACGTATTATTATTTTTATATATGTTATTAGATGAAGAAGATGATGAAATACTGGAATTTGGAAGGACTATAGCAATATTGAATTAGTTGTCTCATGGAAGAGGATTAAGAGTTTTTTTAGTATAATGTAATTGATATTTTACTTTATAATATAATTTTTTGTTGTCAAAAAAGTTAAGAATTTTTTATTAACAATAATTGTATTGTTTTGATTGTAATTTGTAGGGTCATATTTTAGATGTTTAGATGACTTTAAATTTGATAATTCATGTTTCGGTATCGTATCTCGTATTGTGTTTAACATGTATGATGACACAAATTATTAAAACACAAACATGATGCGAATTATAAAACGTATTTAAATCTTAAATATGAACTTGATACATTTAATATAAGTGTTACACATGACATGACACGATTAACATATGTCATAACATATATGTCATAACGTATAGATTCGTGGATCTATCACTAGACATGAATTTTAGGAGTTACTATCAATATTTTTTATTTAGGTGTGATTGGTCACTTGATAGAATCTGTTCCATTTAAAAAAGAGTCCCAAGATTGACTTGGGTATCTTTAAATAATAGATTTTAATCCATGAAATCAAATTTTAGGCTCAAGAGTGCAATCATGCATGAAGAAGGTTATAGACAATTTTGATTTCAAATTTTTCAAGCCTTAAAATATTCTTATAATTTTACCAAATCATTTAATTATTGGAAACTAATCTTAAATTTGCTCTAACAGTTTAGTAGGAATTTAAGATAATTTTCTCACCTCAAGAGTATTTATAGAGACTAATGTCCGACTTTAAAGAAACTCTGTCATCGAGTTCATTAATATATTTTATTTAAAAAAATAATTAGTAAAATTTTCTAATAGTTTGGTAAGATTTACGTTGATGCAAATCTCTCAATAGTTTGATGAAATTTTCTTGTAAATTTATTTTTTAAAAATATATTAAATCTTTCAATAATTTGATAGGACTTAATTTAAGATGTAAATCTCCCAATAGTTTGATAGGATCAAAACAAAACATTTTA